AAAATGGAACAGCCAAACGAAAAAAGAGACATGTTATTGGCATGTCAAAAGCTTCCCTCACAGCTCATTGGAAATTAAAGGTACTTTTTCCCATCCATTCTGTTACAGGAAAAATGTTGAAGTTGTCATGTTTTGTTTGTTGTTGATTAATTATGAGAAGCAAATAATATTATGGGTGTTTTTAGACTAGGGAGTGACAGTTAAATATTCAAGTTTATGAGAAATAAACAACTATGAAACGAATTAACATCTATTTGTTTTAGTACCTTACACTTTTGCGGACAATATTATATTGCTCTGCACGAAAGAAGGCTTTGATTAGCGGTAAAATTGAATTTCAACAATACAGAATATTCTGCTGGATAATAATATAAAGAAATGCAATGGTTTCATTTAAAAGATGTAAGTTAACATTCAATAAAAAATATACGCGCAGAAGAAAAAAAAAACAGAAAAAAACTATTATATAGGAATGTCATCAACCCAAGAGAATCAACATTTTTTTATTACTTTCTCTTACTAACTGTTGCAAAGACCTTTGTAAGTTATAAAACAAGTATATCAATTACACTCCCTTTATGTCATCAATCCCTCATTATTAAAGTTCCGGGATGGTTTTTTTTTGGGAAACGTCAATCTTTTTTCTGTAGCAGAAAAGTAGTATCCAGTCTGTGCTGTTACATATGAATAACAAAATATATATAAAATCTGTCATAAAGTTTTTGACATTTTATTTTATTTTATTTTTTATTTTATTATATGTTAAAAACGTCGTATCAGACTCTTTTTTCATCTGGCCGTTCCTTTGTTATGCTGTATGCTGGTCCTACTCGTACCTATACATTCCATTATAAGACTCATTATGCTTCTCCTTCGATCACAAATTATTGAAAATTTGACGACTGAAACATCAGACTCAGTTTAAACATCCAAATAGAAACATGTCCGTTTGCATTGATCTTTATCTGACTTCATAACCCCTTACTACCCCATATTAACTTGATTATTAAATTATTTCCAAATATACTTTTATTGCTTTATTGTTATAAAGCAATAAAAGTATATTTGAGAAGCAAATTGCCTCATAACTTGTTAGTTATGAGGCAATTTGCTTCTCAACCATACTTTACTCTTATTTTTCACTGAATAGAGTCTGCATAATTAAGGAAAAAAACTGAAAATATTCTGACACAATAAGTTTCCACACATACTCAAAGATATCCCTCAACAGATTATTGAAAATATATCAACGCATATTCTTTCCGAGTATGTAAATCAGTTTACCAATACCCTGCCCAAAGTCAGAAATATCAGCGAAATAAAAGCAAAACTTTTTTTCCTTAAACTTACTTTGATTACATTATTTGTGGTATGTGAAACTAATTCAAAGTAGCACAATAAAGCAGTGCCAGCAATTTCTTCGTGGATTTTCGATGTGTGAGCAAGGTTACCTGAACTCAAACCCTCTCTACCCCTGTTTTACCTTTATTCTGGAGGGGGGAGGGACTCTTGAGTTCAGGTGTCACTTACAATCAGGTGATCCGTCTGCTCGTTTTCCCACCTATACCATAAAAAATAAACTTATCTGTTCACAGCATGATCTTCAATTACACACTCTATAAACTGTTTATTTTCCTTCTCTCTAAGTACTTAAAACATTTCCTTTTAGCTCATTTTTCTAGTCCTAGAGAAATCTGCTCCTATTCCCGGTTGTGATCACTGACGACAAACGGAAAAAAAAAACTTCTGTCGCCAGCGGTGGTATATAACACACACTTTTCCAGTTTAAACTGCGACTGGTTTTGTCACCACTGATGCCAAATGAGTTAAAATAGTTCCATTTGTGGCCTCATAACACAGTGGCGACAGTACAGTATGAGATATAGATGCTGGGGTAACAACCAGGATTAGACGAAAATCTGTCAGTAGCTAGTCTTTCTAGCTAACGAATAATGTGTACTGTAATAAGTAACACGTAACAATGTAAGTGCACTGCACACATTACAGCACCTGTTAAAAAGAAACAGAATGGAAATCTACATACAATTGAAGTATCTAATCTTACATAAAACCATGTTATTCTGTTTTACAACGCTAATTATTGACACTATTGATATAACTATCATGTAAGTGTTTCAATGATAATCAGATGGATGTACAGAATGATTACACTCTGTCACTTGAGCAAGGGAATTATGAAGTGAGGGAGGTGTCGTTTATCTGGTGCTTAGAATATCTGTTAAGTTAGGTTGAAAGCTCTTTCGTGTCGTGTTACCTTTGAAAACATGTCAACAAGAGCAGTGGCTATAAAAGGGTTTCACTCTACACTTTAGTTTCGTGTGTTACAATAAACGGCTTTTTATCAACGATATCTGTTCCACACACTGTCGGCTATCTACACTTTTTACTGAGTATGTTATAATGCTTAGATACAATTGAAATTGTAAATTGCGTAATTGTTTTTCCCTATGGAGAATATTTTTATATTTTTCTATGTAGACAACCGGATCATACAAATGGACGGTAATCTAGTACTCTTCAAAATTTTGCTCATAGCTTGTAATCTGTTAAAATATATTCTGGTCGTAACTACTCCTTGGCTTCCATTTTCCAGTGGGCTCAATTGTTTTACAAATGGATAACATGCATTTTCTTCTGTCAGCTTTACAAATGGACAACATAGATCTTGTACGGTCAAATATAGCATCGTGAACGGTTACGCTAAGGGATTTTACCTAACTATTCGGTTTAACATTTTATTTTATGTTTTCCCTAGTTCATTTTACAACTACTACTCATTTAAGGTCATAACAGGTTCTTACAATATTAAATGTACAATTTCAGTCGCTTCTTAATCAGGAATCTATTGTCACAACTTACAAATACCAATAATTATAAGTAGGGGAAAACTAAAACTAGGCCTTTTTTACACCGACGAGAAATCCAAAAATTTCATCGCAGGATTAAATTGGGGAGTTTTCAGAAGAATGGTTACTGATATTTGAAATACTTTATATATTTTTATCAAAGCTGTGGTTGCTGGGTAACAACTTTTGCACTTATAGAAGTTTAATTGACTTTTATGGTCACGTAATATATAATTTAGTATTAATATGCTATGTTAAAAGTTATAAATGCCAGCGAATCACCTTTTGAGTGGTATTTAAATAGACTGAAACAAAATATCTCTTCGCAGTGCAAATTCCTACCACACCTTTAGACGGTGCTTACGAGTATTCTTACAATTTTACAAGGATATCTCAGAAAAAAAAAATTAATTACAGAGAAATCAAATACCAAATACCATTCGTAATAAATAATAGTTTTATAAACTAAAAAAAACATTCATTTTATTGTAAAAATAACGTGGGATGCTAGATCTCAATTGTTGTAAAAGTAGACATATAAAAGTAAAAGTAAAGTTATTAAATTATAAAATACCTTGAAAAGTACCCCACGCTTTTTGACGATGAAAGATTTTTCTTTTGGAATATACAGAAAATTATGTCCTAATTTTTAGTTCGGCTAGCTATAAAAGCGTGTTTTTTTAGTTTTGTTTTTAAACTATAATTTATTTTTCTTTGTTTTTGTTGTGAATGCTGATTATTATCTTATTAAGACTAAAAAAGTAACAAGTAAGTTTATCACATATGCTTCAGCCTTAATGTGATAAACTCGCCACGTGTCACGCCTTAATACGTGGCATACCGTATTTTTAAGGTATGGAAAAGGTACTGATCAGGATAACGGGACAAACTATTTAAATTATAGCATTGTCTTCTGTTCTTGGTCAATGTGCAAAGTTTCAATTTAATTCGACCTTTTGAAGTGTTTCATAATCACGTTCGAAGATTCTGTTACATACATACCAAGCTAATAAAAGCGTGTTAAAAAGACACTTTCCGTCTGTATTTGCCGTACGTGTCTGATTTCTATTTTTAGCAAGTTCAAAAAAAATAATTGGGTTAAAAGCCGAAAGAATAAGTCAGCTTACTTAAAAAGGGAGTTAAACTTCTTAACAAGAAATGAAATCACTTGGCGGATAGTCCGGAAATAAAAGAGACGGGGAGCATGAGTCATTATTTGGGGATAAAACGATCGACGTTTAACAGTTTTTGTCGCGACTTGATTTACATTTTGATTATATTTCTGCTAGAGATGTTCGGATTTAAGATGAAAGTCTTTTCTACAGATTTGAGTGTTGAATGTGACTTTTAGATTGCTTTATAAGACGATATCTGTATGCTATATTTGAAATTAACTGCTTAATGTTTGCTCTGGGAAATCACTATTCTTTTAACGGTGTTGGTGTGGTTAAAATGGTATTTTGTTTATGCTTTACAACCCGAAGGCTAGAAACATTTGTACAACCTTACTGACAAAGTGTCAAGTGGTTTTGTTTTATATATATACATAGATATTTAATTATAGAATATTTTAAATCGTAATAGACTTCTTACACTTTCTGTGTGATGTGGTTGTAGAGAATTTGAGTGCCACTTATAAAATGTATAGTTATCGGTTCCATTCGCGATCAGTACAAATATTTCTGCAAATGTCTATTTTATATTTTTCTTAGGATTCCATATACTATCTATATAGAAAGTAAATAACTGTTAGAGTCAATCAATATAAAGAATGCGTGTAGGCTCGTAGTACAAGCTATGCTTATTTGCCCAAAATAATAAAAGTATTTTACTTTTTAATGAATTGATTTATAATAAGCTCATTAATTTAGTGTTATACCATTTTTAGTATCTCATTAAACCCTCTAACCTTCGTGATTTTGAAATCTCTTAAGATGACGTCTCAAGGTGATTTAAATGAGGTAATCTAAACCTATTTACTTCAGCCTTCGGCTACAACAAATAAGCTACATTTATAATTTTCAAGCTAATATTATAATAAGTAGTTTCAACGTCATTAACAAATGAATAGTATTCTAGATTATGAGACTAATTTATTCCTTTTATGCAAACATTGTGTTGTTTTTGCGTTTCATGAATCGTATTGACCGCAGTATTTGTGAGACTAATGGTTTGTGATTATTGTGGCGCGAAAAGGGTTTACACATTGTTGTCGTTAAAATGAAAGTTAGTACTTGTTTGGAGAGGAATGTGAGTGGATAACCGTTTAAACCTAAAGGTTAGAGTTTAAAAGGGTTTGAGTTTTAGAATATCTACCCTGTAAAATTATAAGATAATCTATTTCTTGATTTATTATGTGAGTTAACTTAAATTATTTTTAAAATTTACAATGTTAAAATTTACTTTTAAATGTTGTTATTTATTCTGGGTGTCGTGTGTGGCGTGTGCATCCTAAAGTCTTGCAGCCGTCTGTACGGGGTCAAAAGTTTACATTAATCCGTAGTTATTGTCAGATGTTACAAAAAACCGGTCCTTTTGCAAAATATTTATAATATTTGTGACGCATAGAGAGCTTGCCATCCAACACCTCAATATTTCAACATACTCCGCACGAGGATATTGAATAACATGATATTTGTGTTATTTTTAAAACCTTTGGTGTTTCACATCACGAAGCCTCACATTTTATTTTCTCTATATATCTGCTGTATTTTTAAACGGTATATTCCATGTGAGGTACAAAAGTGAGTTTAAGACCGTAAACACTGCCAAATCGTTAATGTAATTTATTTCTTGAAACTTTTAAATATTTCTGTAAAAGTACTCCGAATGAAAAGAGTAAGACTACCCAGTATATTTCAGATAGTAATTTTTATTTGACAATGTAATTTTTTATTAAGACAGTAATTACATTTATTATATTTAGAATGACATTAACATTAAAGTCTTAACTTTTGTTTAAAAATTGCATAACTGTACAACCAATAACCAAAGAATAATTTTATGAACGGCATTTCATTATTTCACTGAAAACTTAGTCAGAAATACAAAACCGTTATCAGTCTTTACTCCCAGTCCATTAAACGCCACCGATTCAGTATAAATATTCAGATATTTCTGCAGTTCATTTTACGGTTTTGTCCCCATTTTGCTGTTAAGTTCGTCGTTAACTTGCTGTCTACTTACAGGGCTCGTCTACCTAGCACATAAAGTAGAAGTAATTTACTGTGCACGCCTTAACAGGTGTATGTACATATCTATGTGAAAATATCTTTTCGTGTTTATCCTTTTCTTAGCACTTGGAATATCATCTTTTTTATAAGAAAAAAATTAATATAAAAATGCAAAAAACAAAAAATTCACAATGAATGTTCCAAATTTAAGCTACATGAATCCATTTTAATGTATAAGAATTTATTTTACCAGTTTAAAGATACCACCGAGGAGTTCTATATCTAAGGATGGGAACTTCACTGGTATTATACTACAATCACCGTAAGTAAACGGTTACCATCAAGAAGTGCTTGTTTATTCAATTAGTGAAACACCTCTACCCTTTTAGGAGCACATATGTCAATACTTACTAAAGATTGAAGGTACGCACTATTAGTTTTGAAGTATGTAGAGGTAATGGGCTTAATAAAAATTATCGAGTGAATGTGTCATCAAGCAGCCACCCGTTCATCACAGTCAGATTACGACTTTCACGAATGACAACGATGTGGTACGATAATCATAACAAGTGCTCTAACCTCAGCCGCACTAGTGATAACTTCGTTGATGAAATTTTCAATATTTAGAAAAGCCCTCAAATTACAAATCAATCAGTCTCTTATATTTAATTGATCTGTTGAGTTTTTTTAGATTTTGGTTGGGCAATTATAAAATATATATTTTCTACAAATATTACTAATAACCTAAGTACTAGTCCATTAAATGCTTTTTATTGACAGTTTTTTAAAGAAGAAGGATTTGGAATCACCTGAATTCCAACAACTGGAATTCTACTCAGGTTTTAACTCTGCTCTATACGATTTGGTTTAGAAGAGTGTTAATACTTTTTTGGTAAGACGGCAATTACATTTAGAATTACATTTACATTAAAGTCTTAACGTTTGTTTAAAAATTGCAGAACTGTACTACTTTATTAGTTGTAAAGTTCTGCAATTTTAAATTGCAAATTCCAAAGAATAGTTTTATAAACGGCATTTCATTATTTCACTGATAACTTAGTCAGAAATACAAAACCGTTATCTGTCTTTACTCCCAGTAGATGTTCTGAATCATAAGGCTATTAGTGGCCTGTTTTGTTGAAACCAGGACTCTTTAAAACATTTTAATATATTAAAGCGTATTATAATCGTACAATGTACCTACGTTGGATGTTGAACAAACCATTGAGATAATCAGGAATCAGCTTCGACACCCTATTCTGATAAAAAGAACAACCAACATACCTAGTCCATGACACATTAAATGTAGAGGTTCAATGATATAATAAACAGTAATAATTACAATTTACATGCCGATTAACATACTTTAAGTACTACAAACTAGTTGCCGGTAAAAAAGTCTTTATTATACGCTGCTTCCAAGGAACAGGTTTTTTTCTTTTCATTGTAATTCTGAAATTATCAATGGTTACGAAATTAAAAACGATAAAATGATCCAAATTTTGAATACCTATGCGAAAACTACGCATAAATTTCTACGTCTTTCTTAACATTTAACAATTATGTCGAACCCTAATCGCCCCTCTCACAACTGCAAAAAATTGGAATAATGTAAAAGGTACAAATATCGCATTAGTTCTGAATTTCGACTCGTCATGGGCGGACATGACGAGGGTCACCTATTATTCAGTATTTATATTGAAATAAATCTCCGCTGCTATCAAGAAATCCAATGGAAATATTTCAGATTAATTTTTTTACTTTATGTAATGATTTTTTTTGGTGTTATAATTTCGGCCGGCAAATTTTGCTGAAAATAAATTGATCTTTTAATTTATTGTGAATAAATATTGATAGGAGGGTGGAATTTGTTTGTATTGTGAGATGGTCTAAAAATTGTCAAATGATGAAATGTGTAATGATTAAAATAAGTAATAAAATATGTTTTAATAAATTCAGACACATTTAATTATAATATATTGATTTTTATGGTTCAATTCCTTGAAAACTACATGACTGAGAGTATATATTTTACTGCAGTTTGTTGAAGCTTACTTTTATAAATAAAACTACCAAGCCTTTAAAGTTGGCTTCAGGATTTATACTAAAAACCGGACTAAGGTGAATTTGATTTACACAATGATATAAAAAGATAATATACATTCTTTGACAAAATTATTTTTCCATCAGGTGACCCGTCTGATCGTCTACCCCCTCTATCATAAAAAAAATAGTTAATTGTTGACCAAAGAGGTCACATAAATATTTATTTTTGTAATCAAGTCATAAATTTTCGTCTTTTAATTTGAAAATAATTTTACAAATTTTAATTATACTGCTTACTGCGTAACTGAATGTAATAAAGCATGATGTTTACTCAATGCACTCATTTTAAATGACCTTAACATAAGATAAATCTCGTGTTGTGAGTAGTTTTGACAGATGGTTCATTTAAAGGCTGACTCTTACTCGTACTGGTGTACACAGAAGTATTAGCGTAGCCACAGATTAATGAATGCATCATTTTGAAATGTAGATATGTAGAGCAATTTTAACATGATTTAAATAACACCTGTTTATTGATAATCCATACTTCGGAATAAGGTTCCCTCTGTTACCAGTTTTGGGTTTTTGAAACCTGTAATAGTTTCGAGATCTTTACATCTCACATCACAATTTACTATTAAACAAGCTAGTTTCAAATATTTATCTAGAATAACATGTACAGAAACAAAACTTGAGAATTTTCTAGATTAGTTGATTTTTTATTTAAAGTTATTATAGTTACGATTTTTACGATACGATTATTAGTAACTTCAATGTCTTAAAACTCACAAAAATTGATTGTTCTTTTCTTGTAAAAAGAATTATTACTTATTTTTTGTTTAAGACTAAAAAGAACACTGAGTTACTACACAATATGAGGTAGCGCACTGAAACATATGTAAGTATACTATAAAATAGAATTAGAAGAAGAAATAGTCACTTCTAGTTGTGCTTCTACTACTAGTAAAAAATATCTTCAAGCAGTTTAATTCCGTGGTATTAGCTATATACCATGATAAAAGAAGGATGCTCTACTAACATTAGAAGATGACATAATCAATGCGAGTAGGAATATTACATGGTTATAGGGTTGTCAACCTACAACTAACACTGCATCTGGCTATTAATGCCTCTAAATGCTTGTTATAAAGCGGGCCGTATGTATGTTTATCAACTTGGTATGATGAAAACTTTGAATCATTCCGTTCCCAGTTTACCGTAATTAAAATTGTTTGACGTAAATAAGTTCAAGAGTTATCAAAGTGATATGATGTATGTACTCGTATATTATTATCGGAAACATAATGCTACGCATTATAAGCGTTTCAGTACTTTCTAAATAGAAATAGAGGTGAAATCAGATTTGTTTCCCTATTACGCCTGTACCCAATAGTTTAGTTTAGTGTTTGTAACTTAACATTTCTGTTACCATCTGTACACGATCCATTCTGATTCACGAGTCTCCCGTTTGTCCGTCCCGTTCGGTACAATACTCTTTAGTTGTTCAGTCGCCCTCGGGAGCTCGACGTGGTCGTGTGTCTGTGTGAAGTGACAAGTGAGTTCGTTGCGAGTGCAAGTGGTAGTGCTCTGTGATTTCATAGTGGTAGGTATTGTTTTTATTTTAGGTTTTACTTGGCTCTCGTGGATTTTTAAATAAACTTCCTGATTATAATTTTATAAAAAAATGAAGGCATTACAGCCCTGTAATTAAAAATTTGTATTTTTCTTAACTTTCGTTTAAGTTGCTTTTATGGCAGTGAATAAAAATATCAACACGTTTTTTTTTACTTAAATTGCTATTAAAAAATCAGACATATTTCGGGTTGCATCCAAACTTGTATAATTGTGAAACAAACTTAACTCTACCGTTCTAAAAATATTCCTTCATTCATCGAAATACATCACACTTAATTTGACAAGCGCAAAATATAAGTTTGTAATCGCCAAACTATTGTAATATAACAATTAACAACTTTTTTTTCCTTTCCTTCCCTTTAGAAGAACAGCACTATAAAAAGGAATTAACTAAATTTAAAAAATAATTTATTCAAGATTTAAGTGCGTTCCACATTTCAAAACACTACCGTAGAGTACAGGTGGCCAGTTCCCGCGCTAATGGTAACTAAACCGGTAGAAGTAGGTTACTATAACGAGTTACTACCGTGTAGTGGTGTAGTATTACTCTCTGCTACCTGCCCTTTAACTTAAACGAGTGCTATAAAAAAATTGCAAAATAAAACTATGAAAATACACAAATATGAAATTTAGTTTGATCAGGAGTTCGAAATTTTCAATTTATTGAAGTTATACTTTTTTTATTTACTTATGCATTGTTTCTACACTGTTATTGTGCTTATTAATTTAATTACAAACTTGCGTCATTAATAAAAAATCAAATAAAAACTAAATAAAAGGTAACAAAACTTGTTGGTTTTGTTGCTAGTACTTTAGATCTCGAAATCGAGAACCAGAAATCTATGTTGTACACGTCTTTAAAATAGTTGAATAAAAATATAGGCAAATACATATGTATCAAATTAATTTTTTTAGTGTATTGTAAACGACACCACTGAACCATACCACTGGAATATCGTTTAAATTTTTTTTTTGTTAACGACACCACCGTAATGAAGTTCTAACACAAAACTTATGCATTTACCGATATTAATTATTTTTCATTCGTAAGATCACGACGGCTGTTAAAAAACCTTTTTCCAGAAGTCTCCAGGAGGTGCTTTAAAGATAGCAGATGAAGTGAAACAAAGTTGGGGTTGGCATACAAGGATACCCTTGTGGATAAAAACCCCTTTAAAAAAAAAAAAAGATTAAAAAAATAGTGAACAGTTTTTGTATAATTATCGGATTAAAAATTAACACATAACGAATTGTTTTATTTCACGTTATACATCACTAGTCAGCAGTTTTTCTAGTCAAACGCTTCTAAACAACTGTAAACGTTTTGTAAAGCGGTCAACAAAACTAACATGATACAGAATTGGAAAGGACAATCAAGATTAAACTCATCATCATTAACCAATCACTAGTCTCCTCATGATTACGTACTTAGCTCATAATACTGGGCAAGTATCCAAACATCTAAAGGTATGGCCAAGAAGAAAAATAAAAAGAGGGGTTAGCACTATTAAATCATTATATAATGTTATAGAAGATACTAAGAACAGTTCAGTGTCAGGAAGCTTATGTATTGATCATCTATTAAAAACAAAAATTTATAAATTCGACAGGCCTGTTGGTTTAGTGGTTAGTGACTGAGCCGGCGGTCGTGGGTTTGATTCCCACCTAGGACAAATATTGTGTGGTGAGGACGGTCATTCGTTCTATGTCTGGGTGTAATTTATATAAAATATTTATGTATTTAAAAATATATAAGTATGTTTATCAGCAATCTGGTTACATAGCACAGGTACTGCCTAGTTTGGGCCGTGTGTGAGATGTGTTAAAAAGCAAAAAATAGTAGGATTATTCAACAGACAGTTACAGATTCTACACACTTTGAATTAAAAAAAATAGTTTTAGTTCCAACTAAATTTTATACAATTTTATTATAACTGAAAACCCATTTATGGAACTATGATTTAACTATTTTATTATAGTTTCCATAAAACTAGCAAAAATTAGAAGAGACAATTATATTCTGTCTCTGTTGGATTTTGCTTCAGTTTACATATTACCTGAGTATACATTTGAAATTTATAATACATAGTTAACCCACCAAAACAAACGTAGTCAACATTCATTAGCGATTGATAATTATTGACATTGTGGTTGTCATAATTATGTTTACATAATTAATTTATATCGCTTAATTGTAAATAAAGAACATGGTCGTATTTTGGGTCTGTTTATCTTGTATTATGTTGTATTTGTTTATTTGAAATTAAAAGATGGGTTAACACCTTGGACGAACACTGTTTTTTAATATTACTTGTAAACAATAATTCTTCTTGTACCATTTCAAGATCTAAAATCAAATGTTTAATATATTATTATTTTTAAGTCATTGACATAAAAATGTATTTTAAATTATATTAATAATCTACTCTACATTAAACATTTAATTTTTGTAACGCAAATAACATACTTTCAGAAAATAACCTAAATTTTCATTTTAATAAATTTAATTTTATTACAAATTAATCAAAAGGAACATAAAATCCACTAAACTTAAAGTAAGTGTTATTATTAAAATTTTAAAAAATATTTATTAATTGAACTATAAAATCGCAAAGGTACCTACACACTGTGATGGTGCCAAGAACAGGAACTGGTTTCTACGAAAAATACCAAGTCTAATAGCTGAATAAATAGATACCTTACTTAGTCTAGACTTATCGAGACACCATGACAACTGAGAGATGCGGAAACAGCATGTTTTCTTGTTTTTAGAAAGGAGTCGCTATAAAGGCTTATACTCTAATTATCCAAGCAGTAGTGGACCCAATTTTGCTATTTAACAAAAAAAAAACTGTTCTACTTTTTTTGCAATTCGTAAGTACTTACTTAACAAACTAATAATAATAATTGATCCAAACAAGAAAAATAACAAAACCAAACTATTACTATCTATATTTAAATATATGGAACAATAAAAAAAAACAAGATTTGCCTGTGCTACCAAAAGCTATTAGTTATTTTGATCTTTAATACTTGGAACTATGCCCAAGCAATTTTTCACAAAAGACCCACTATCATTATGCTAATAAAACTGTTCATAACCACGGCAGAGTAGTATAGACAGGATAATGTTTGCACTTTGGCTTGCTCTTTAATAACCTCTGCTTTGTGACTACATTTCCTGCAAACTTTATGACCTCATTCTCGATTTTTTTATTTCTTTAAATAACTCAAAAGCGAATGTATTACACTCTTCTTAAATCTCTCTACAATCATTTTAATTTGAGTGGTACTACCAAATGAGATTTAGATATTTTTAGGCAGGGATATGTGTTTTATAGTTAGTACCATAAATTATATACCTAATATCTTATGTATATAAACACATACGGTTTGTGTACGCTTCAAAAACTCAAAAAAATCTGCACCGCTTGATCTCCAATTTTGACACGATATACGAGTACAACCCACTTCCAAAACTGTTTTATCAATTTTCGCGTTAGTATTGTTCCTTATTTCTTATCAATATAACCACAATATGTGACAGCGACGTGTGGCAGGGTACAGCTAGTAAGGTATTTAATCGTATTCACGTTTCAAAGTTTTAAGCTACACAATGCCTACTAACTTTAGTTTTTTTGGATAATGGATGACATAATAACCCGCTCCGATGTGCTGTTCTGTCGATATTGATGTCTTTCTTATAGAGTAGAAAGTGATACGGTGCCGGAAGCTAATGAACGGCGAATAGGTCGGCGAGTTATTTCGACGCTCCTCGTATTAATTCCTACTGTTATAATAATAACATAGCATAGTTGTGGTTCTCTTATACAAAAAACTCATTTAAATTATACTACTTATGATTACTACACTAAATACTTCTTACAATTCTGATATCTATTTGTACTTCGACGACAAATCAAAATGTGTTTTATTCTAATTTAACATTATTTCATTTTTTACACTTAAGAAGTTCTGTAAAAAATATGCTCTGAATGTGTCAAAGCGTTCCAACCAGAGCAGATGGCCGCGATTTGCCTTACGCTTGTCACCTTCATATCTTCATTGCAATTACTACTCTATTCAGAGCAGATAAGATATATTTATTAATGGAGTAGAATTTTCTGGATGGATTTCAAGGATGAAACCGCTCACACAAATGCTAGCATTTTCTCGATTTAATTAGAAGTAAACATAATGTTTAGAAACAGGGCAGACCGTATAAATTACATCTTATCGTATTTTCTACGTGACAAGGATTATTTGCACAGTAATTAATTCAACATAAAGTTATTCATTATGCGACTGTTAATTGGCTAGTCAGTGTTTTAGACCGTTAAAATATATCTTAGAAAGGAATAAATAACGCAATAAGTTATTATAGACTGGAAATCAATAAAATAAAACTGACATACTAATCTTGTAAGTGATTGTGTTTTCGTGCAAGTATAAAGCCTACCGTTTGATTACCGTGTCTATTGAAAAAATTGTCTGAAAATAAATTTCTAGTTCAAGAATCGAGTGTTTTAACGTTCTCACAGAGAGTAATTAATGATTCGTCTCTACATGCAGTGAGATAAAAAAGTGCAGCTTGCATCCTTAGACCATTGCGGCACTTTCCACATAGGCATAATATATAAGTAAAATAAAACAAAAAGGTATGCGATTTACCTATTCCTATTCGTTAGCAACTTATATTGCTAATTAAAAGTTTCTAGAAGCAAACCATACACAACTTTATGTACATACGTGACATTTATTTATTTTATTTATTTATTTATTCATTCGATTAAACGGCCTACAACTAATTACATTTTTCATTTACATTAATCAAGAGTAACAATTCAAATTATATCAAACATACATAAGAAACTAAAAAAAAAAGGAAAAAAAAATCTTTTGAATAACATTTAGGACAACTGTGTATATATATATATATATATATATATATACACAGTTGTCAGTTGC